GCCGGTGAAACTCGTCCGAGGATACTCACGGGACAATTTTTGAGCCTTTATAATGTCCTATCCAGGCCATTTTCCGCCCAAACAGTGCCACATATGGCATACGAGGGGGCTACTTATCCCAGAAGGGTACCATATAAGCCATTTTGTACAAAGTCCAGAAGATGATAAAAATTCCCATGGGCGTGAAGGGAATTCTCGAAGCCTACTATGCTCTGCTGCATATAGAACACGACTAATGGGTCCTATCACGATGAGCAAACAAAGAGAGTTTTGAGCAACACCCATTTTTCAGTTGTGGCACGGCGTAGACTTCCATTGGCCGGCCATGTTTCACGTATCAGCCGATCCCAAAAAAAGCCAAATAATGAACGGCTCCAGGAGCCGAAGGAGGAAGAGGTGGTCTGAGAAATACTCTGAGAGGAATTGAGGAGCAGTTATTGCCCAGGATCGGCAACGGTATAGAGAGTTCATCGCCCGGTGCTCTACTGCATGGGAGGAACCGAGTCTAAGTAAGCATCCTTCTTGTGACAGAAATATCCCGACAGGTAGAGCTGAGATTCTGCTAGATGGCACATTGCCAAACCCATGATCCGGCATCGATTCCCGGCTGGATACTCAAGAAGGCTCACTGCTTCTTTCATCCGCCTGGTTCGCTCAGATTGACCAACTCAAAGAAGTTTATCGTTTATTTTTTTCCAAGTAGGATTACCATACTATTGATTTCTGTCCTGTATTTCGCCGATAGCCTTTACCAGTCTGGTTATAAGTGTAATAAGAGAAAAATTTGGGAAAATTGCTTGCGTACTACAGAATGGAGGGAAGGAAGCGACCAACCTTCTTGATAAAAGCTCCTTTCTCATATCCTTTTCACCGTGATGGAATTCCATGGAGTGACTTGACTCCTCTCGAGAATCTTGCGAAAGAACTCGAGCACGACGAACTGCTTCTGAAAGTGTTGAGTAATATCAGACAATACTGAGCTGACTGACCTGGTAAGTTAATACTGTACGGTAATTGTCTCGCAAAAGAGGCTCATAATTGGATCACTCTCCCTTCCCTACCCCCCACCCCCCTTGAGGGGTGGATGGTGATGAAGCCAATTTTTTCGCGTTCTACTTTGACGGTAAGGAACTTCAGGCGGTTGACTGGAAAGGGAGGAGGGGCTAAGCGGTGTGATTCCTCAGTTTAGCTCCGTTCACGAAGCTGGCGACCTCTTACAAACCGAATCATTCTGTTTATATCGGTATTATAATGAAAAATTTTAATTATTACGCCTCAATCAATCAATCCTCACCTAAATGACGAGCTCGTTCTCCTATCTTACTCTCGATCAATAAGCATAGGGTCTTCCTAGCGACGGATCCAAGAAGAATTCGAGTCTCTGGAAAAGGGAAAAATGAAAATTGATAAACAAAAAAAACTAAATTTGTATAAACGTTATGTGAAGTTGGCGCTGTCAGTGTAGATTCACAATGATCTGAGTTTTCGACCCTTTACGAAGCCACTGCTGCGGTTTTTTAAAGGCACAGTTCACGATAAAAATGCTTTCTAAGATTTCTTCCTGGGAACAACCTGTGATATCAAAGGACAGCACAAGAAATGCTGTTGTGTCGAAATACGCCCTAGATAGGAACTGTTAGGTTGATGCATAATTATTGCGGATTTTTTTCAGCAAATTTTACTTGAAGAAACGATAAAAAAATATCTAACTAAGACATGTCCAAATAGTTGTTCCGAAACATATCTACTATCTACGTAGAGCACTGCTTCCCATTTACTAGGCTGTCGGATTCCACAGGCGAAGAAGTTTCGATTCCTAGAGGCGAGCACCCTTGACGTCGGCCAACAAGCCATTCATTTCGTCGAAAGTTCTGCTCGTAATCAACTTTTCAGCGGGCAGTTGACGTGATAATCCATAGGAGTATCTGTTGGTGAATAGGTCTACCGCAGGAGCAGATTCCATTCCTTATTCGGCTTTGGCTGACTGTTCCATCGCCGAGAAGTTCGTTGAGATCACGTTATGAGTGTGCTGCCTTCCAACATTTCTCGAAGTAATAGGACATAATTTGGCGTGTATGAAGATGACTTTCTAGACATATTTCTGTAAAGGAAAGCGAGAAGATTATTTCTACAAAAGTCCCAGATTCAAAAGTTCAATTTTGTTGAAAGAAGCCGCGAAAATAATTATGCATCAACCTAATAATAAGGGTCCCCAAAACCGGTTTTGTCGACGTACACACCCAGAAGTGGACGAGCTTTCACGACGTCGTAGAGGCTGGAGAGGTTGCACCATTCTGCAACCAGCTGTGGCACGACAATGGGGTTCACATTTGGACAGTTCGTCCAAGAACCCCTTGCCTGCAATTTTTGTCGTCAATACTCGTCCAACCCCTAATTTCTACTTATTTTTGAGAGTCTTACATTTTTCTAAACACGATGATTTTGCATCCTCTCCACCAATTCTGCAACATTCTGGACTATCATGCCATTAGTCGTCTTGAATTAGATACCACCAAATCATAGCGAACTGTGCCTTTGGGTCATTTTTTCCTCATTTCCCTTATTATGACATCCTCACCTGGATCAAGAACTACGGGGAATGCTCGTATTTCGCTATTTCCATCAACGACCTCCTTCAATTCACAATAAGTCATATCTTTCCAAATAAATTTCACATCAGATACCATTATATTTTCAGCAACGACCGAATGGAAACTGAAAATCGCATCTAATCATTGGGAAATTCAAATTCAACAAAATATTCCAAAAAAACAATGTAAAAATTCAAAAGGAGAGAAAACTGACTCATGAGAACAGTGAGATACATCTGGAATATATGGTAGCGCTTTGGTCATGATAATACTGTCATAAATTGATGGTTGGAAGTATGAACAGACAACATTTCCCACAACAACTGCTATCTGTAACTCAGAACGGTGAAGTCATTCTTCCCTATTTAAAACCAACTTTTCAACTGAATGGATTGAATGGAAACTAACAAAGTACAATTCAGAGCCCGGCCGAGCTTTTGTTTCCTGGGCCTCACTGTTTGTTTACAAGGTAAGTTTCAAAGTAAGAAAAAAGAATGGGTTGTATTTATATACCGAACGGTTGAGCCAGACATATTCGGTTAGACATGGGTAAAATTTCGTTGATTCTCTAGACTTTTTGAGTTCGAACCACTTATGCAGCCTCCTGGTGATTTTTCAGAATTTGGGTCAGTATGTAGGGATAAGACTGCTGAATCTCCGTAGTTGTGCTCAATACTATCTTCAGGTGGGTGGGCCTTTTGGGAATAGGTGATCGGTGACGGGTGATCGATACGTACATATGTACCTGTCGATATCTGGCATCAGTCCCGAATAGGGCTTCCCAGTGAGCTCAAAAACGTTTTCCCATGCTATCATAGAAATCCCCTGTATGATCATTTTTGAGATTCCTTGTTCGACAATAATCCCTTCCTCCCTATCATTTGTCTTAACTGTTTCTTTCAGGGTTTTTTATTAATTTTACCCATTTTCAGGAAAAATTAGCGAAATTAATACATAATTCATGAAGAAATTGCTAGCTGATGGCTTTTATGTTCAATATGCATCAGGATTAGCAATTCAGGATGGATTAAGCCTCATGTATTCCCTCTCGATTTTGCTTTCTGTAGAAAATGAGATACCTACGTCACCCATTAATGGAACCCGTTAAAGAGCTCGGGCGGAGAGCGAGAACAAAGAAAACTTTGATAAAAAAACAAAAATCCTACCATAACGGGAAGGATATGCATCAGCTGACCGGTGAGTTCAAATACGATCACTGCCACCGAAATCGTATGTGTAACCGATCCACAAAATGCAGCAGCACCTTAAATTAATTGGCTAGTTTTCACAAAATTACTTGTACTAGCCAGAGCAGGTGAACGGATAAAAAATAAAAAAACCAACTTCAATTCAAACGGATTCGATTGGATTTATAATTCCAGTCAATTACCATAAATTACCTACAACTGCGTACACCCCAGGATGGATTTCGGCGGAATAATTTGATCGTATTCCTTCGGGAAATAGTACGGCCATTGATTCACCCATAAGACGACCAAATGAAGCTCCTATTACGAATACAGGCATGAATATACCGGCAGGTATTGGAAGTGTCGACGATACTATCGATAGTACGAACTGCAAAGAGTGGATCACCCAAAGTCACACACTGATTGAACAAATTTTTATTTTTCTGATTTTTATATTTAATTTTCAAGTTTCTGAATTAATGCCAAATCAATCCTTTCGAAAAAAATCAGAAATGACTCCCAATGACTATCGCTCTTATTGCTTTTTCCTAAGACATGAAAATTTGACGAGAAGGCGTTTTTTCAGGGTGTGGTCCTGATCTGGGAGTTTCCCCAAGTGAAAAATGTTTTAATAGTTATAATAAGTACGATTTTTATGAAATTAGAAATATGAAATGATGACTTACAAATGTGAATGTGAATAGGGATAGGGTGCAGAGGACGCTGTGACCGCCAGCAATCGCCCATTCAGCAAAAAAATCCGGTGGACAAGCGTTCCGATCCTCATCATCCACCGACCACGTACAATTTGACAGAAATAACCGCAATGTTTGTGAGAATTTATGCTAAACCATAAATTCCCGTACGATGTACGTCCAAAACACATGAGAATTTGATTTGCAGCAGAAAAAAGTTTTTGTTAAAGAACATCAAAAAATCGTGAGCACATTCATATGACTGTGAGGCGTGAACTACAGTACCCCTGCTTTTTTTGCTGCTTTTCATTATTTTTACTTTAACCGTACCACTACTTCACAGCTTTTCCTCTTTTTAAAGCTGCAGATCTTAATCAACCTAGCAACATGAAACCTCTCTATCACAAATATCGAATTGTCCAGCAAGAAAGAGAAAGAGAAGGGAGAAAGGGCTGAAGCTTCTAGCGCTGCCGAAAAGAAGATCATGTCAGTGAATGTGCTAGTCAGAAACTTAGCCCTCTCAACAACCTTTGGACCAGGCAGCCTATTCTGATGATGAAGATTGGTCGGAAACCAGCGATATCCGCAATGACAATAGATAAATAAATGAAGTAAACGAAATATCAATGTGCACCCTGTCATGCGGCCGTATGAGTATCATTGTGCCATGCCCCCAATTTTGTTAAATGAATGGTTAATGGAGGCTAGCTGTGAGGGGCTGAAAATGAGCAAAGGGAAAGCCTCAGTATATCACGCCTTGAAGTAGGATTTTTGAAAAAAAACGGTCGATTTGGGAAACGCTTCCGTGCTTCAGATTGTTATTGCTTCCAAAATCATCTAAATTTATCAAAATCCCTAAGTTGTGTAAGGGACAAGAGCGCGGTCTTTGGACAGCATAAGTTTGAGTTCGAGTTCATTCCTACCTAAATTCTGCGATTTTGTAATAATCGCCTGAATCTTATAATAAAAGACGGGCACAAGCAACATAGGGGAAAGAAGAGTGTAGCGTAAAGTAAAAGACCCACCTTTCCTGAAAGAAACTGACCAGCTCCTTTGGGATATGTGATTGCTGAGACTATGAAAGATACAATGACCGGATACAATAACCAGCTAAATGAGTAGTTCTCCTGACAAGAACAATTTCGTGCTTACGTGGGCGATTCCATTGTGAACTCACTTTCGTTGGGTCAGAGCCCGTCCAATGGATGAGTTGTGCAGCCAAATAACGAGTGCTCGATGGCATTTGATAAAGAGTGCTCCTGCCAGACCACTGGTCAACCTGGAACATCGTTTAATTTGAGCTGGTATTCATAGTTTAGCTGTCTATTTAGTATAGGTGAATGCCAAAATGATACCAACACAAAGGAGGAACTTTCAGTACAGAAAGTCCCTGTGTTTTTGAGGGAAATAAAATGCTTTCCAAAAGTTCCTGTTCTAAAATTTCGAGTAACAGCCAAGTGGTAACTTTTTCCTCTGGCAGTAAGTGAGGACTCTGTCGAGGGGCCTCTGACTGTGACTCAATTGTTCCCACAAAACCCACCAAGCAAAAAACTTTGAAAAATCTCAGATCAAATGCTATTTTTCAAAGAAATCGTTCTAACCCCAATTCAGAGTCTATATACCATTATATGTTTTTTGGGTCGTTTTAGAGACCATTCTTAATAATACGTACATACCCAATCAATCCGAAGACCGGAATCTCTTCTGGAAGGAAGGCATCCTCAGGAAAACGAGTTTGGTAGTAAGCTGATACCGTAACTGAAATACGGCATCTAGTTCAGAACTGCTTGATGTTCCAATATACATATCAGATGAATAAGAATGTAATCTATTGTGTGAGTCCAAAAGGAAGGTTCTAGGGAGTAGACTACTTTCATGCTAACGAAAATCATTTTCTTGTGGCTATCACTTAGTCGTTAAAGCTCAGAGACATACATAAAGAACTGTGCTGGATGAACGTATGCCCACCCATTTTGGGTTTCGATAGATAGATCTATTGTGTCTGGTGCTTTGAGAAATTCAAGTTATTTAAGATAATCAAATCGGAAAAAAATCCTTCATGACAGTCCTTCCCCCACAGTGTATTCAGTTCACTCCCTCCACCATCTCCTCCATTCAACTTTCCCTAATACCTTACCTTTTAGGAGGTGAGTAAGCCAGTTAAATGTTTAATTCTTACCCCATCACAGCTTTTGCTCGAGATAGTCATCTTATCCACCCTGATGGTCCTCCCCTCCTTTGGCGAACCTAAACTCTTCTGGACAAGAGTTTCTCTAGGAACAAGTGAAACTGGTGGTCCTTCTTCCCTGCGCTTTGGCGCTCAGTGTTGGGTAAGAGCGGTGCCGTTTCCTCCTTCCCGAACTACATTTTCACCGAAGTAATTCTCATTTGTGACCTTTTCCCTTGCTGAGTTGAATCCTCAAAGTAAATGAGGAAGGAGAGTGAGGAGGTGAGAGGAAGGATTTCGTCTACCCATTTGACTAACTTACTTTCTGAGGCTTTTACAACAAGCCGTACTATTCGGAAAGTCGTTGCAGCACATATAGCAGCAAAAAATCCTCTCCAATAATTCCTTACAGCAAAATAAGCCGATGTTACTTCTATTGAGAACAGCACACCTGAAAATAATCAATAGGTCCATAAAAAATTGAGAAATGCAAAAAAATCTGGAAATTTTCAAAGAATAAATAGGTCAGGCTATCGATTGAACCAAGTTATTAAACACATTTTGCTAGGCCATTGCAAACTTCTTTTGAAAACCCCATTACGAAATCATTTATAACTACCATCAAAGTATGTCGATGAAACAGAAAATTTCTGCGATTCTCCTTCCGCTCTTAAGCCTTTTTCGCTCACTAACAAATGGGACGGGTAGGATGAAAGGAAACCCTTGGCGGTATCATAAGATCTGCACTCCCATGGGGCTATCGTCAAGCCAAAATAAAAAGTAGTAAAGTTTTGTAGCGGTCACCTGTACCCAAGGGTGGCTCGACAAGGGAAGAAACCCGAGAAATCCATTGAGGCCCAGCCCTTTCGGTGACCTTTGGTGAAATTGTTTGCTACTTAGGATTTTGGGTCCTCCAACCTCACCTGGGAGCCTTGAAAGCAAATGAAGATATCCTGGTACACTACTGTTTCCTAGAGGAGATTTTCGTTGAAGCGTGGTCTTCACAAACGAGGTTTTTCCAGTTTCTTACGGTAACTCTTCGAGGAACCCCGTTTTTCCCTTCTTGTCATTTCAAATAGTAATCATCAGCTCTGAACAAAAGGAGTCCCTCAACTACTACCCCACCTCTAGTCAATGACTGCGGAGGTTTTTTCATTCACCGAAATGAGGCTTTCTTTCCAAATTTTCTTGTGAATCTTTACATTTTCAGGATGTCACATATAATTACTCGACTTATATCCACGTTTACTATCTTTTGTAGTCATTACTCAAACAAAAACAATAAAAGAGCTGGACAGACCTCCAATGGGAGAGCTAAAAGTGCAGGCGACACCGACAGCACAACCAGCAGCGAGCAGTTCATGAGACATTGACTCGTTCTCGTAGGCGCCCTGCACGCCAGTCAAAAATCGTGATACTTGGCTGGCCAACGCCGATGCAACATGGACGAAAGGTCCCTAAAAGACCCTATGGCTTATCATACTTACCAGCCTGCTTGCTATAACTTTTTATCCAAGTTTTATTTATTGGTGGGATCATTGTATTGCTTGTTTACCTGATTGTTTACTTGACTGTGAGGGATAAAAATGCTTCACTCTGACCCTATTTAGGTGGAGTACTGCCTATCCTGCACTGTCACTACTGGACTTACAGAAAACTTTGTCAACAAAAAAGATGGTTATTCCACCAAACTTTTTGCATTTATTTGAATAAATAAATAAATAAATAAATAAATAAATATTAGGTAAAAAAAATTCCATCCAAAATCTCCTCGCTTCCCTGCCAATCTATGCCTTGAAAAAGAATAACAATTCTCGAAAATTCTCGAAGTATTTCTCTACAGTAACACCTGCTACTATAAAACTACCAGAAATTCGGAACAACTACATAGACCATCACTCTTTACAACAAGTTACACCGTATTATCAGTATTTATTCCCAACATATTTTGCCTATATCATTTTCGTCCAATTTCTGAGCTTACCTCTTTACCTAGCGGAAGTCCACTTCCAAGTGATAAAGTTAAACCGATCATTTTGGAAATGAGTGTGCGGAATGACAAATATTCTTTGAGCATAAATCCTCGTAAAATTGTCTTCATTTCTGGGATTCCCGAACCTGAACTACGTAGGTTATGAGAAACAAAAAAGATTTTTCAACACGATACTACCACAAAAACGCTCATTTCAAAGTGGGTTCGAAATTTGGTTGATGTTTTGTTTAGCTGCTGTTTTTGCTGCAGATTGTGATGAACACGATTATCCAACCCCCGTTCGACTCAATGTTTTGCCCGCAAACCAGAAACCTTGAGATGAACTAACATTATTCCATTCAAATCCCTCTACATACATACATTTCATGGGTATGACATGCCTCTTGGTGTGCCCTCTATGTGCATCTTCCAATTAAGAGGAGCTCAACGAGATTGACCGCTTACGTGCTTGATGAGCAGCTTTTTAACCTATTTGAGTGGGTTTAAAAAGCAACAGCTATGCAATTGGTGTCAATGTAAGCTTTCAATCAGATGGCAACATTCTTGGAATAACCAGTAACCGGTGTTAGATGTCAGCCGTAACGCTGGAGAGCTTCATGGCATAAGAAGTCAGGCCCTCTAGTAAACTATTGTATGGCAGCGTTCACTATCGAAAAAATTATGATTTCGCTAGGATAACGTTTCAGAGAGGAAGAGGGATGGGGAAGGAAAGAGAGAACCTCTGATTGCAAACTAATTATCCTTCTAGACGCCTGGGCAAGACCACTATCGAAGGCACACTTCACGAAAGAATGGTTTCTTGATTACTGCTTGGGAATAACCTGTGACCCCCAAGGGTAGCACAACTGACGCTGAAAAGCCGAAAAAAGAACGTAATAGAGATTCCAAGAAGGACTTGGCCGACGCACACACCCAAAGGTGGACGAGTTCTTACGGGGTTGTAGAGGATGTAGGGGTTACACCATCCGCCTCGGGACGCACACATTGCGCGCAGATAGCTTACTGTAGCCAATGGCACAAACATTGAAACAACTCGTCCATTTAAACCTTCTATGCAGCTTTTGCTGCCACATTTGAACCCCTCAACCCCAAAATTCACTGCTTTTTTTGGCCTTATATTTTTCCGAATCGAGTTTTCTGCGCCATTTTTGCGCTATCTAGATTATAACTCCCAACATTCATCTCAAACTAGATACCCCTAACTTAAGGGGGCGGTGTCTTGAAACTTCAAATACAAAAAGGGGGTGGGTGGAGCTTCGCAGTGAGACTGCCCAGGTTAAACTTCGTTTGTTTCTTCAAAAAATGAAGTTTCCACGTTGTTTATTTCTGAATTTTGCTTTGTACCTGCCAGACGATGTCATGGTGGGGGATAGGAACATCTTCCATTCTCCCATAACGTGCATCTTAAATGGAGCATAGGAATATTCGTGAAAATTTCGGGCTACAACAGTTTTCTTGTCGCTTTGATCATTTCTATCATCATTTATCATCTGCATTAGCTACTGTTAGCGTCCCTTACACCATTCTACCCCAACCCGTTCAGAGCACTGTTTATACATCGCCTTTGACCCTGAAAAATGAACAAACCTATGGCTTGTGGAGAAAAATAGTGAGCAAAAATGGCCGACGACGTGACCAGAATAACAGCGTAACCACTCCAGACGATAAATGTGTAAGCATGATGATTATGGCCCGATTCGATCACATCAGCCCAGTTGTACGTTAAAATGTGCCCTGAATATATCATCAATGAATTTAATGCAAATCACAATAACACTATAACCTAATTCTTAACAGTAAGGAAACATAAACTGAGAAGTTAGGACCAGAACTCGACGGAATTCCATAGGATTTTTGAGTATTCATTATTGTATATTCCGAGTGGAGGTGGTGTAGTGGCGAGTGGCGCACTATCACATCTACATATGTACATAGTCACTGGTTCGTACCCCGGATCGATACTCTCCTGGACTGTCCAAGCCTTCCATCTATCGGGGTCGGTTAATTGGCAGCAGACCCGTCTGGGAGGACAAAAGCACTGACTTATACATTGGCTGGTTACCGCAAATCATTGTATAGGCCACACTCGCATTCAATACGCCACTCTTTTTCTAAAACTTCATTTTTCATCAATTTATTATATTCCACTCGGAATTTTCTCTAGTTCTAACTCTAGTTCTCATTTACCTACATCTGAATTTTTTAAAATTTGAATTTAATTTCAACTAGCCACCTTTCCGCCGAAATTCATTCCATCAAGAATAATTTTTCGTTTTTTCAAATTTTTTTT